GGTCACAGTGACTCAATAGCAAAGCCAGAAATAGAAAATGGCAGGTCTTCCTGATAGCCAGTCCTGGGCCCTTGCTCTTGTTATCCTGACTTCTTTTTTTGAACGTCAGTCACAGCCTCTCTACAGGTTTTTCTTTATCTCCATTTCCCTTAATTCCATGTGGAAAGATTTTCTCTTATCCAAATTGGCTCTAATGCCTGTGGATGTCTGTCCAAAAGATGTGCTCTGCCTCAATCAGAAGGTATGGGCTTGATGGAGGAACCACTACGGCCTGTGTTATACAGGAGGTCAGACTAGATGGTCATAATCATCTTTTCTGGCCTTAAAATCTATGCATCTAGGCATTTTTCTGCTACTATTGAAAGAATTCTGGACATATTTTCTGTCATTCACTTGCAGTTGGAATAATTTAAATACAGTAAAAGGATTTCTTCTTCCATTGTGTCCTGAGCACTTTTGATTGCAAACAATGTATGTTAAACCAACAGGTCATAATTTCAGATTGTCACAGAGTGAGGTGGTTCTTTACAGAGGTGGGGCTCAGCTGCACCTCTGCAAGGTTTAGCCACCTCTCAAAGAAGAGGGAATGAGTGTAGGGGTCACCTGACAAGGGGCAACGTGTCATAAATATAAAGGGAAGGGTAAACCCCTTTGAAATCCCTCCTGGCCAGGGGAAAGCTCCTCTCACCTGTAAAGGGTTAAGAAGCTAAAGAAGGTAACCTCGCTGGCACCTGACCAAAATGACCAATGAGGAGACAAGATACGTTCAAAAGCTGGGAGGAGGGAGAGAAACAAAGAGTCTGTGTGTCTGTCTATATTCTGTCTTTGCCGGGGATAGACCAGGAATGGTGTCTTAGAACTTTTAGTAAGTAATCTAGCTAGGTACGTGTTAGATTATGATTTCTTTAAATGGCTGAGAAAAGAACTGTGCTGAATAGAATAACTACTTCTGTCTGTGTATCTTTTTTGTAACTTAAGGTTTTGCCTAGAGGGGTTCTCTATGTTTTGAATCTAATTACTCTGTAAGGTATCTACCATCCTGATTTTACAGGGGGGATTTCTTTATTTCTATTTACTTCTATTTTTATTAAAAGTCTTCTTGTAAGAAAACTGAATGCTGTTTCATTGTTCTCAGATCCAAGGGTTTGGGTCTGTGGTCACCTATGCAAATTGGTGAGGCTTTTTATCCAACATTTCCTAGGAAAGGGGGTGCAAGTGTTGGGAGGATTGTTCATTATTCTTAAGATCCAAGGGTCTGGGTCTCTAGTCACCTAGGCAAATTGGTGAGGCTTTTTACCAAACCTTGTCCAGGAAGTGGGGTGCAAGGTTTTGGGAAGTATTTTGGGGGGAAAGACGTGTCCAAACAGCTCTTCCCCAGTAACCAGTATTAGTTTGGTGGTGGTAGCGGCCAATCCAAGGACAAAGGGTGGAATATTTTGTACCTTGGGGGAAGTTTTGACCTAAGCTGGTAAAGATAAGCTTAGGAGGTTTTTCATGCAGGTCCCCACATCTGTACCCTAGAGTTCAGAGTCGGGGAGGAACCTTGACAGCATGTGATTAGGAACCAGGCCTTCTGGGAGATATAAGGACAGCCTGTGCTGAGCCTGGACTGAGATCCCAGGGAGTTCAGACTTGGTCCAATCTGTTAAGGGCCAGGAAAGAGCCACAATGAGCTCACTGGAAGAGGCCCTGTGAGGAAAAGACAGAATAATTTTGGGGATAGGGCAGATGACCCAACTGGTTTAGGTTCTCAGGGACAGACACCCACAGGGGGTTGTGGGGGCTTATGTTCTCCTTCCGCACGGTAGGTTTTCTGGAGGAGGAAACTGATGCAGTGTGGGGAAGGGAATTGACCCCAAGGCCACACTTGTGAGTCTGTATCATAATACATATGCACAATGGAACTGCACTAAGGTTGTACTGACACCAGAGAAAGTCCATTTTGAGGTCCCCAGACTTCATTTTGTATCCCTGGCTTCCATTTTGAATAAGCAAGAGTCACTCCACCATTAGATGGAAGCTGCAGGTCACATAGCGCTAAATATAGAATTGGCAGAAAAAAAGTAGTAAAAACAATGACTCAGCAGATCATAATACCGTCAGATAAATAATGGTTGCAAGTCTAAAAACAGAATTGGCAGTTAGCAAAAGAAGAGAAACAAATAGGATGATGCCATGTGTCTAAAAATAGAATTGAAAACGGTATAAAAGTCAGTGTGTCAGAACAGTCAACATGGATTCACCAAGGGCAAGTCATGCCTGACCAACCTGATTGTCTTCTATGAGGAGATAACTGGATATGGGGAAAGTGGTAGACATGATATATCTTGACTTTAGCAAAGCTTTTGATATGGTCTCCCACAGTATTCTTGCCAGCAAGTTAAAGAAGTATGGACTGGATGAAAAGACTATTGCCAGCAGATCGAGGGAAGTGATTATTCCCCTCTATTCGGCACTGGTGAGGCCACACCTGGAGTATTGCATCCAGTTTTGGTCCCCCCACTACAAAAGGGATGTGGACAAATTGGAGAGAGTCCAGCGGAGGGCAATGGAAATGATTAGGGGGCTGGGGCACCTGACTTACGAGGAGAGGCTGAGGGAACTGGGCTTATTTAGTCTGCAGAAGGGGGGGGGGGGAGGAGGGAGTTGATAGCAGCCTTCAACTACCTGAAGGGGGGCTCCAAAGAGGATGGAGCTCGGCTGTTCTCAGTGGTGGCAGATGGCAGAACAAGAAGCGATGGTCTCAAATTGCAGTGGCGAAGGTCTAGGTTGGATATTAGGAAACACTATTTCACCAGGCGGGTGGTGAAGCACTGGAATGGGTTCCCGAGGGAGGTGGTGGAATCTCCTTCCTTAGAGGTTTTTAAGGTCAGGCTTGACAAAGCCTTGGCTGGGATGATTTAGTTGGTGTTGGTCCTGCTTTGAGCGGGGGGTTGGACTAGATGACCTCCTGAGGTCTCTTCCAACCCTGATATTCTATGATTCTATGATTTTGGTTAGGACTGTTTATTTATTTATTTTTATCAAAATAGTTGTCCTGGCAAAACTTCTATTGCAGACAGTTACATCTTTATAAAAGTGCCTTAAATCAATATAGCTTATTTCCCTCCCTGTACTGGAATAGCTATACTAGTGGTATAAAGCAACTTTATACTGATCTGTGTCTGCTTTGTACTACTTTAACTATACTAGTGAAGCTCAAGCAGTACAACTTTCTAGTGTAAACAAGCCCCTGCTCACCCACACCTGTGCACCTTTATATTAAATTTTAAAAAAGGTCAGGTTCTTGCTAACAGGGAAGAGAGATTGCCTCCCAACAGGAAAAATGACACTCAGATACGTGGCCCTCAGATACTGTGCGGACGGGCACCCATTGAAAATGAACCAGATGCATAGTTGCCTGGTTATGACAGCCACACTGCCATTCATCTGGTAGCATCAGCATTAGGTGCCAGGGTATTTGTAATTTGAAATTAGAGTCGGTCAGAACACAGAATTTCCAGGCTGTGGGAAATTCTGACATCTTGAAATTTACATTTTTGTCCTGCATAGGGACAAAAAGTTGAAATCTTGAAATATCTAGCAGATTGGAAATTCTGAAATATTTTTATTTTGAAATACCAAAGCATCCCTATCAAAAAAATTTTATTTGAGAATGTCAGAACACTGATATAAAATATTTAATATATATTAAATATATGCATAATAAATTTAATATTAAAATTAATATATTATAAAAGACAAGATTAAACGAAAAAATCAGAACAAAACAAAATACCCTATTTTCATTTTGTATGGTTTCAAAACTCTTCTGTTGGAAACTATGCTGAAATTGGCATGTTCCTGTGAAACATTTTGCTTTTGTCAAAACACCATATTCCAGAGGGAAACTGTCCCATCTAATTTTTTTGACCAGTTCTACTTAAGTGATTTTTTTAGTTCTTTGTAGTCTAAGATGAAGCTTACTCAACCCCACCATTTGAAGATGGACCTAATTCTGCATCTTGGCAGGGGGTTAGACAAGATGACCCTTGTGGTCCCTTCTAACCCTATGGTTCTGTGATTCTATATCAGGGCCTGGAGTTTAAGGGTCTGTGTATGCTGAAGAAACATTTAACTGACTTTAAAAACAGCACTGCTAAACTGATTTTCGACCCTGTGAGTGCTGTAGTAGAGACCAGCTTCCAGGCTGTTTAAGGCAGCATGACCTACTTTTAGTGAATTAGTTTTCTGACTGAGAGTGCTCCAAGCACCCTAAGAACTGGCTGAAGTAGATGACACTTTTAACAGGTCTAGAGGACAGATTCAGGCTAATCAGCTTCGGTCTGGACTATTTTAGCAACAGTGTGAATGAGGACAAACTAAAAGAGTTCAACTGGCCATTCTGCTACTGTCCAACAACGCACCAGTGGCATTTCAAAATCTCCCACAAAGCACTGTGTCTGAGAGCTGAAATAGTAATTGTGGGGTAGGTATCCAGAGAGTGTTGATAATGCAACAGCTTAAGAGCAGAACTATGCAGATGTGATGCAAAACTGCAATGGTTCTTGAACTGATCCAGTGTGGCTGGGGTGGGAGCACTGACATGGGTCGGTTCCAGATGGTTCAGTCCCCAAGTGCGAGGTTAACCTTGCACCAGCAGCAGGAGTGTCAGAGCACTCCAAGCAGAGCTGGGCACCAGGGATGGGGTGAGGCAGAAATCCATTAATCTGGTTTGCGGCTATCCGGCTGGTGAACTGCTCTTGACTTAGCTGGACAAGCATTGAAGCCTAAACTCCCTGCATTGCCAGAGCTGTTTCCCTTCTGATGCCTTTGCGAATCTGGAGAGGAAATTCCCAGCAATAAAACCCACTGAGGGCTTCCAAGGGGGAAATTGCAATCAAAAACAAATCCGCAGTGCTCAGCAGCTTCTAGTCCCTCCCCCACTCCCCAGTGCCCGTCCCTCCCTGTTCCAGCCCCTCCTGCTGCAACCCTGCTAGAGAAAGGCAGGAAGGAGGAACTCCTGTTGCTGACTGGTTGGCAGCCCTGCAAGTGGAAATATTCTGAATGCAGCAGCCATGGCCTCAGGAAATAACCTGATGGAGAAGCTCCAAGACGAAGTGTCCTGCTCCATCTGCCTGGAGTATCTGAGGGACCCTGTGACCATCGACTGCGGGCACAACTTCTGCTGTGTGTGCATCACTGACTATTGCGAGAGGTGGGAGGGCTCCACGACTGAGGTGTTCTTCTGCCCTCAGTGCAGAGGAGGGTTCCTTCAGACCACGTTTAGGCCCAACAGGCAGCTGGCAAACATTGTGGAGGGCATTGAGCAGTTGGCACTGCAGCCAGGCAAGGAACCCAAGGAGAAGCTGTGTGAGAAGCATGGCAAGAAGCTGCGTCTCTTCTGCGAGGATGATGGGGAGGCCATTTGCCTGGTGTGCGACAAGTCCCGGGTGCACCGCTCCCACACTGTGATCCCCATCGAGGAGGCTGCCCAGGACTACAAGGTAGGAGCAGTGACAAGCATCCAACTAGCCAGAGCCATGAGAGGGGTCGGGGCTGTTGGGCAAAGCTCCAGGGATGTGCTCCACCCCCATTCCCAGTCCCCTGAGTTCTGGGCTCTTAGGAGCCTGGGCTGTGGTTCCTGCCTGGGGTTTTAGACAGGGAAGGTGCCTGTCTCTGACCTAAGCCCTGGGCCCTGGTTAGGGGGTCCCATCTGTAGCCATGGAGTTCTCCATTCTCCAGAGCCCATGAACAGAGTTCTCTCAGCCAGAGAGGGCATCCACGGAGCAGCTGTGAGGGGCTCTCTCCCCAACACAGAGCTTCCCAGGCTGCGACCCCACCCCCTGCTTGAGCAGGTTGGGCACCCAGCCCAAGAGCATGTGAACAAACTGATGGAGGACATGGTTCTACACTGCTACTGGCCCTGGAGCTGGGCCCCTCACCACTGCTGCCACAGAGCTGGGCACTGGCTGTCTGCCCCCTTACCACTGCCTTGTGAAGCCAGGCTCTGGCCTCCCCCTCACTGCTGCCCTCCAGAGATGAGCTCCATCTGGCCTCCCCCTCACCGCCGCCCCCTGGAGGCGAGCCCTGTCTAGCCACCCCCTCACTACCACTCCCTGGAGGCGAGCCCCGTCTAGCCACCCCCTCACCACTGATCACCGGAGACAAGCATTGTTTATCTTCCCCCTCACTGTGGTGCTGGAACAATTTGTATAGTGAGTCATTGAGCCACACTGTAAACCCTGTATAAAATGGAAACCACTTTAAGCCAGGGGTGCTGCCGCACCCCAGCACCCGCAGTTCCAGCACCTATGACTCCCTCCCTGGAGACGGGCCTCATCTGGCCTCCCCCTCACCACTGCTACCTGGAGGTGAGTCCTGTCTGGCCTCCGCCTCACTGCTGCCCCCTGGCGGGGAGCCCCGTCTATCTGACCCTTCACTGCTGCCTCCCAACCCAGAGCCGGGCCCCATCTAGCTGACCCCTCACTGCTGCCCCCCCGGCAGAGCCAGACCCTAGGTGGCTGTGCACTCACCACTGTCCCCTGGAGCCGAGCCTGAGCCCTTGTTTTGGAATGGATAACTGCCGAGAAGAGGGGAGCAGGACCCCTGCCCAGTCACCTGTGACAGCCCTGGGGTGCCAGCCTCTCTGCTTCTTCCCCTGACTAGTTCAATGGTCGCTATGGGAGTGAAGGATGCTGTGAGGGACCCATGCCCTTACCCAATGCTCCACAGGTCGAGGAGCGGTTCTCTGTAGCCATTGGAGCCCCATTTCGGAATCCTTCTTTGAGCCCCCCAGTGGAATGGATTACCTAGGGAGGTGGTGGAATCTCCAAGGCCCGGCTTGACAAAGCCCTGGCTAGGATGATTTAGTTGGGGTTGGTCCTGCTTAGAGCAGAGGGTTGGACTAGATGACTCCCTGAGGTCTCTTCCAACCCTGACATTCTATGATTCTATAATTCTAAGTGGGCACTGGGAGGATTCAGCCCCATTTTCTCCCCACAGATGAAACTGCAGGAAGCTCTGGATCTTTTGAGACAAGTGATGGGAGAGATTGCAAAGCTCCAGGCCCAAGAGGGGAAGAAAACCGCCCAGTGGAAGGCAGGTGTCGTGAGTGTGATCCCACCACAGCCTCCCCTGTGCCATGGGACTGGGTGCCCCAAGCAATAGCATGAGGGTCTGGCACATTTGCTAAGGGGGGACATTCACACTGAGTACCTGATTTTTTGCTCACATTGGTTTTACTTCAATTTAACTCCAGTGGCTCCTGATTTTTCCCTGTGTAACTGAGATCAGAATCAGGCCCCGAGACTATAATGGAGCATCCCGGTGGGACACGAGTGGAAAATTCCCTCCAGAGGGGACTATGACATAAGTCTGGCAGAGCGGGGGAGGGCACCGTTGCTGCATTGTTCCCAGGAGAAGAGCATACAGCAGAATGACATCACAGTCACACTCCTCAGCCTCTGCTGCCAGCCTGAGGCCAGCTTACCTCAATCACAACAGTTTATCATAATGGGCCCCTCTGGCAAGGTGTGAGGCCTGCTTGGAATGTGTGTGTCCCCCAAACCCAGCTCTGTTAATAGTTGAAGCCCCCCACATTTTGCAAATGAATCTGTTTCCTCAGTATCCTGGAAACTGATTGAGTCACTTTCAAACTGTCCTGCCCAAGCAGTTGTGCAAGCCCTGCCCATTGCACAATCCGAGGGACCAGGAAGTGCTGTGTCACCGCAGAGTCTGAGCAGCTCTTGTACTGGGCTTGCTCCCAGCTCTGCTCCGTCCGAGGGGGGGCAGGGCCCAGCTTCGTGGTGCATGGCTCAGTCTGACTCCCTGCCATGGCGTTTCTGAGGCGTTCCTGGCCCTGTTGGCATGGCATGGAACCAAAGTACTGCTGCACCAGGCCAGCCGGATAGGCTTAGCCAGAGCCAGCCCATTAGTTACACATAGCTGGGAGGGGCTTTGTAGAGCCCATGGCACACTGTAGTGGGGACTGCATGGCTCAAGGGCTGATGATAGGATATGGAGTCTTTCACCCCTTTCCAGGTCCAATCCAGCAGTGACTGAAAGTTGTTGCTGGCTGATGATCTCTCTAGTGACTCATGGACTGAGTTTGGGGCGGTTCTCAGTCCACTTGCCAGCAGACAAATGTCCACGACACAAAAATACCCACACCTGCAACTGACATCAATTGGCATCTTGTTGGCAAACAAACAAGGGAGGGTAGATCTCAACCTTTCAATCCCACCCACAGGTTGCATAATGTGTGTGGGGGGGGGGAAGGCAGGGCGCAGGGGGATGTGCACTGCCCCTGCCCATGTAGAGTGGACCTTACCTCTGGCTGGTTCATCAGGCTGCGGAGCTCGTGGCTGTGCAATCACTGTGCTCCATTATCCTTTGGCTGGCATTCCCTCCTGCCCTGCTGTGGGGCCGAGGTGGCATGCCAGTGCAGATGAGCCCAGAGGAGTCTGTGTGCCCAGAGCTGGAACTGCAGGAACTGTGTGCCGAGCAGGAGCCATTCCTGGAGCTGACCAAACAGCCATTTTCTGTGGGAAAACGTCTAGCACAAACAATTTCCACCAGCGCCATTAATAGCTCAAGAATAGAGGGTGGGGAGGGTTGAGGCTAAGGGGCATGGTGGCATGATGGCAGGGACAAGTGGGGATGACAGAATGAATGGAGGGGCACCCTAGGGGCAAGGGGGACAACAGCAGGGACAAAGGGGCAGTTTGTTACAGTGTGCTAGGAGCATATTATTATAGCATGAAACAGGGGTGGCCAAACTTACCGGCCCTCTGACCCACATACGACAATCTTCAGAAGTTCAAGAGCTGGGGCCCGGTGCTCGGGGCTTCGGGCCCGGTGCTCGGGGCTTCAGCCCCACAGGAGGTGCCTGCCGGGGTTTGGGGCTTCAGCCCCACTCCTGCTGAAGCCCTGAGACCCCCGTCCCTGCTGTGCAGAAACCTCTACCCCACCACCCCACTGCAAGGCAGAGGTCCCAAGCTCCCCGCTGAAGTCTGGTAGGTGGAGAATGGGGGAGCGGGGGGAATGTGGGGAGGCTCTGTGAGCCACACTTTAATGCTAAAAGAGCCACATGCGGCTCATGAACCAGTTTGGCCACCCCTGGCATAAAAGATCCCACAGGGCCCAACCCTTCTCCTTTAAACCCCCAGCAAATGGGCCATGGTTCCCAACCCACAACCTTTAGACCACCAGTAAATGGCCTGTGCCCAATCCACCACCTACAGATCCCCAGGAAACAGCCTGTGAGGCCCAACCCACCTCCTCTAGATCCCCCCAGTAAACAGCCCACCAGCCTACTACCTACTACCCCATAACCCTCAGCAAACTGCCCTGTTGTCAAATTTGGCCTTACCCCACTGGGGTTCCTTCCTCCCTCACATGGTTTCTGCCCCTGCAGGAGAAGGTGAGGGAGCAGAAAAAGCTCATTGTAGCTGAGTTTGCCAAGCGCCATCGGGCTCTAGAAGAGGAAGAGCAGCTGCTTGTGTGCAGGCTGGAGGAGGAGGAGGAGGAGACTCTGCAGAAGCTTCGGGGGAATGCGACGTTCCTGGTAGAGCAGAGCTCTAGCCTGGCCCAGCTGATAACGGAGATCGAGCAGAAGTGCCAGCAGCCAGCCACTGACCTGCTCAAGGTGAGAGCCCCTCTCATGGTGTGATGAGCTTCCTCCGGGTGCCATATGGGACTGGGATACCACTGAGCCCGCCTGTCCCACCAGCTTGGGTTCCCCTTACTCTGTGCTGCTGTGACAGGCTCTCAAGCCCCCTTCCAGCACACACACAGGTAGGAACACACCCAGCGGCGGTTATATTCACCCAGATGCTGAGATCTGCTCTGCCTGGGACGCTCAGCTAGGGAATTGCCCAGCACTCAAATGTACACCGCCTCTGGAGTGTAGACCCAAAATTGTATCATCTTGCGCTGCACAGAGAACTGTACAGCGTAAGCTCATTGAAATCTGCTCCCTCCCGCAATGTGGAGTAAGATATGCACAGCTTTTTGCCCCCCACCCCAGTTATGAATTCCACAAACTGGTTTTAGAGAAAATAAAATAAAAACGAGTTTATTAAGTGATTATAAGGGATAGCAAACAGATCAAAGCAGATTACCTAACAAATGAAACCAACACACAAGCTAAGTTTAATATACTAAAGAAACTGGTTTTAACTAGCAAATTCTCACCCTAAAGGTTGTTTTAGGCAGATTGCAGAGGTTCTTGAAGGCAAGCTGCTCTTGCTTTCATCTTAAAACTCCAGGTATTTCTTTCACAGGCCAGACACCCGCTAACCTGGGTTCAGTCATTTCTTCCCCAGTTCAGTCTTAGGTGATTACAGCAGTCATGTTTGGCATAGGCGCCGACTCCATGGGTGCTGCGGGGCTGGAGTACTCACAGGGTAAAAATTAGCAGGTGCTCAGCACCCACCGGCAGCCAAGCTCCCCTCGCCCCGCCTCTCCCTCTCTCCCAAGTGCGCCGTGTCCCTGCTCCTCCCCCTCCCTCCCAGTGCTTCCTGCCGCCTGGCTGCCCACTCACTGTGGGGAGGTTTGTAACAGGGAAGGGGAGCAGCCACTGGAGCAGCCTCCCAAGGCCCTTTTGGGGCATAGGTGCTGACTTCTGCTCCTGCCGGTGGGTGCTCAACCCCCCTCTGCCCCCAGCCCCACCCCGACTCCACCCCTTCCATGAGGCCCCGCCTCTGCCCCGCCCCCATTCCAACTCCTTCCCCGAAGTCCCTGCCCCAACTCCACCCCCTCCCTGCCCCTATTCCGACTCCTTCCCCAAATCCCTGCCCTGGCCCTGCTTCTTCCCTGCCTCCTTCCCTGAGCGCACCACGTTCTCACTCCTCCTCTCCCCCCCCCAGAGCGGCCAAACAGCTGTTTGGTGGCAGCTGGATGGGAAGTGCTGGGAGGTAGGTGGAGGAACGGGGACGCAGCGCGCTCAGGGGAGTAGGCGGAGGAGGAAGTGGGACAGGGGGAAGGGGAGCTTGGCTGCCGGTGGGTGCGGAGCACCCACTAATTTTTCCCCATGGGTGCTCCAGCCCCGGAGCACCCATGGAGTCGGTGCCTATGCTTTGGGGTCACTGTGGGGAGCCTCTGACCTGGGCGATGCTGGATGGTCAGAATGGTACCTCCTGGCTGTGACCTCTGGGGCATAGCGAGCAGATCGAGGGACGTGATCGTTCCCCTCTGTTCGACATTGGTGAGGCCTCATCTGGAGTACTGTGTCCAGTTTTGGGCCCCACACTTCAAGAAGGATGTGGATAAATTGGAGAGAGTCCAGCGAAGGGCAACAAAAATGATTAGCAAAAAGAAAAGGAGTACTTGTGGCACCTTAGAGACTAACCAATTTATTTGAGCATGAGCTTTCGTGAGCTACAGCTCACTTCATCAGATGTTTACCGTGGGAGCGGAAGGTGATGGTCAATGGGGAGACATTCCTGGGGTGGCGAGATCCTGGGACAGAGAGAACTGGTGTCAGACCCTGGGTGGTGCAGCCTCAGAGGCTGAGGGCCTGTGTGAGCTGGGTGAGGGTCCCAGGGACGAAGCCCCTCGCCCTGCCTATGGCCCAGATCCCTGTGCAGACCCAGGAGGGGTTGGGCTGGCTGGCCGTTGGGGTGCCCCAGGACACCAACTGCGAGACCCTGTTGTGGGTTGACTGTGTCTCTTTGGGACAGGATCCAGGCCCTGCTCCTGTAACTGCCGAGGGTTTGAATTTGAATCCAGGGAACCAATCGGTGGAGAGGGAAATGGTCAGTGAAAATGCAGATGACCTGGCTGGCAGCAGGGAGGAGCCGCTAGGCTCAGGCTACCTGCCTGCCTGTAACCAGACCCCTGGGACTCGGTGGGACAGAGAGATGCTCCCTGCCCCCTTGCACACCAGACTGGGGACTCTCGCTGGCTCTGATGCAGTGAGGAAAGCAGTGGCCTGCCCCCACTGGGACAGCAAGGGCAGCGCTGAGCACAGTGGGAGCTGAGACCCCAGCTGAGTGGGGGGAGACACAGGCAGGGCAGGGGATCTGTGGGGAGTGGCAAGGTGCTGGGTAAGGAAAGTCTGGATGAGCCTAGGCAGCCTTGTGAGCTGATGGCTGTGTCCAGTCAGCAGGGTGGGAAGGCGAGGAGAGTGGAAGATGAGAGTCCCTGGACCTTACCTGTTAGCTGGGTGGAGAATTGGGACAGTGAAGGAAATGGGTCTCTGTCTGTCAGGGGTATTGACTTGCCTATGGAGGGAGCTACCCTGATCTCCAAGCAGTTGTCTGTGACCAGCCTTGTGTGCTGGGACAAAGGGAATGAGATCCCAACCTGTGTGTCTGGTAAAGGAGAAAGTGTGTCCGGCTCTTCTTGGTCTGTGGAGCAGACAGAAGGGGCCTTTCAGCCTGTGATGGTTGAGGGTCGTGCAGTTGTCTCAGAGCTGGTTCTGGATTCAGCTAAGGCCCAGGTCAAAATGGGGGCCCTTAACCAAGAGAGCCCGAATTACAGCCCTCCAGACTGGAGCTCTGGGAGAAAACCCAATCCCAGTTTGACCCCCTGGGGTTTTGGGGTGGCCAAAGGGCATGGGCTGCAGAAACCTTCCCACATGCAGCCTGCTAGTGCTATCGACCACCCCCGACCTAAGGGAGGGCGTGAAACTGGAAGGGCCTGGTGTAACTCCTACCAAGGAATGGGAGAGATGCTGGGGCATCCATGGGAACATTGGTGGCTTCAAACTTCCCCAGGTCACCGGGTAAAGTGACCCCGCTCAGTTCGATCTCGAAGGGGGGAGAGATGTGACGAAGTGGGCCTGTTCTTAATGTTTCCTCTGAATATTGTGGGGGTGCCTCAGTTTCCCCTATGCAGTTCTTAAGTATCTAGGTGGTGGGGTAAGGGTGTATGACCATTGCAGAGCCCTAGAGGGCAGGTGTGTGCAGGAGTCTGGACACAGAGAATGGCCGACACCCTGTTTCCTGGCAACTGATGGCCTGGGCCCTTCCCCCCCCTGCAAGGTGAGAGCTAAAGGGTTGGAGAACAAAGGAATCAGGTGACCACCTGGCCCGGGAAAGGAACAAAGCCCAGAGGAGGAGGGGCTGGAGGGGGTTTTTCAGTTTGGGGCTGGCTGGGACATGGAGTGAAGTGCAGACGTGGTTGTCTGGCTCACTGCCCCCCAGAATGGACCCAGCTGAGGGGTCCCGTTCTCTGCACCTGCAAGCTCTGTTTTAGACCATGTTCCTGTAGTCTAATAAATCTTCTGTTTTACTGGCTGGCTGAGAGTCACGTCTGACTGCGAAGTTGGGGTGCAGGACCCTCTGGCTTCCCCAGGAGCCCCGCCTGAGCGGACTCGCTGGGGGGAAGCGCACGGAGGGGCAGAGGATGCTGAATGCTCTGAGGTCAGACCCAGGAAGGTGGAAGCTGTGTGAGCTGTGTGTCCTGAAGACAGGCTGCTCACAGAAAGGCGACTACCCCAGAGTCCTGACTGACTTCATGGGGAGCAGTTCCAGAGCATCGCCCAGGGACTCCGTGACAACTGAGCTGTAGCTCACGAAAGCTCATGCTCAAATAAATTGGTTAGTCTCTAAGGTGCCACAAGTACTCCTTTTCTTTTTGCGAATACAGACTAACACGGCTGTTCCTCTGAAACCTGTCAAAAATGATTAGGGGGCTGGAACACATGACTTATGAGGAGAGGCTGAGGGAGCTGGGATTGTTTAGCCTGCAGAAGAGAAGAATGAGGGGGGATTTGATAGCTGCTTTCAACTACCTGAAAGGGGGTTCCAAAGAGGATGGCTCTAGACTGTTCTCAATGGTATCAGATGACAGAACGAGGAGTAATGGTCTCAAGCTGCAGTGGGGGAGGTTTAGATTGGATATTAGGAAAAACTTTTTCACTAAGAGGGTGGTGAAACACTGGAATGCGTTACCTAGGGAGGTGGTAGAATCTCCTTCCTTAGAGGTTTGTAAGGTCAGGCTTGACAAAGCCCTGGCTGGGATGATTTAACTGGGAATTGGTCCTGCTTTGAGCAGGGGGTTGGACTAGATGACCTTCTGGGGTCCCTTCCAACCCTTATATTCTATGATTCTATGATTCTGTGGGTCTAAGAACGTTTAATTTTCAGTAACACCCCCGGTCTCATGGGCCGTTTTCAGCTACTTCAAGCCAGCCAGCTGCCAGTCCCAAGGGACCTTCCTGCTTGCTTAGCATCGGAGTGACTCAATGAGACCATTGGTTGGGAGGATCAGTAACACTTTGTGTTCCAGCAATACCATTGGAAATCCTGAGACTCCCGAGACTCTTTCTGCGCTCGCTGGAGAACGCCCCCCATACCTCCTGATTAAGTCCAGTTTCAGAAAGGCATGATCTGCTGAGGCCACAGCAAGGCACAGTGCTGTGCAAGACAGGGCTGGGAGCTGGGTTGCTGCAGTTGGTGCTTCACGCTGCAGTTAAGAGCCCTCTCTCTCAGTGGCACTTATCTGGCTGCCCTGGTGTCAGAGCCTCACAGTCTTCAATGCATTTATCCTCACACACCCTGTGAATAAGGCAGTGCTGTTATCCCCATTGTACAGACACTGAGGGCCAGAGAGACTCAGTGACTCACCCAAGCAGTGAATGGCTGAGCCAGAAACTGAACTTCAATTTCCTGAGCCCAAGGCTGGTACCCTGACCACTCACCATCCACCCCCTGGTGGCTGTTTTCTACCAGGTACATTTCCAAGCCTCTTTGCAAGAGAAGAAGAAACTGAATGTTTTAAAAAATGAAAGTCGAGCTTCTTCTTTATGTTCCCAGGCCCAGATTTTCCAAGGTATTTAAGGTATTGAAATCAGTGGGAGTTAGGCGCCTAAATACCATGGAGGATCTGGGTCCCAGGCCCTGTACATTAGGGAAGTCCTTAGCCATGGGCTTCCTTGGGCTGCAAAGGCTGGAAGAGTGAGAGAGAGAGATGAATCTGGAGGAGGCAGGATGCTGGACTGGCTGGGCAAAGATCTGGCTTGGCATGGAAAATCCTCACTAAGAGGCAGACCTTTAATTGCTTTGTGTTTTCTCTCCCTTTAGGATGTGAAAAGCACGTTGATCAGGTAGGAGAGACATTTCAGGTCCCCATTGTGTTCCTGTTAGAGGCATCATAGATGGGCCCTATGGCTGGCTGTTGTATGCTAAATAGCTAACGTCTTCTCCTTAGGAGCCACAGTGTGAAGCTTCAGGAGCCAGAGGCCGTTCACATGGAGCTACAGGATTCCTATGAGGTCCCCAGGGTGATGGAAACACTGCAGAAATACGGAGGTAAAGGAGGGCAGATACAAAGGGGGCAACCAGGAGCTGGGCATGGCAGTCTATGGGAAGGGAATGCAGGGGAGCTCAGGGGGCTGTGTGATTTGGGGTTCATGGACAGGGGTGAAAGTAAAATTGATCTCTTACCATTACGGGGGGGGGCGCGTGGCTTCAGCCCCCACCAGAAGGGCTGGGGTCTTGGGCAGAAGGGGTGGGCCTGGGGCTCAGCATCCCCCAGCCCATCTGCGCTGCCTGGCCTGCGCTGCCCGGGGCTCCGGCCACTGATGTGGAGCCTGGACCCTTTTAAATCGCCAGCCCCGGGGCGGCTGCTCCTTTGTGCCCCCCCCCCGCCGTCGGTGGCCCAGGGGGATGGAAAAGGGGAGACGACATTAAAGTGTTGCCACGGCAGCGCTTTAAGCAGGGTCCTTTGCCGCGGCAGCGCTTTAACGTCGCTGCCCCTTTTGTGCCCCCCCCGTTGGCAGTCCTGATGGGGGGGCGCAAAAGGGGCCGCCAATGGGGGCGCAAAAGGGGCAACAACGTTAAAGCACTGCCATGGCAGCGCTTTAAGCAGGGTCCGTTAAAGTGGTGCCATGGCAGCGCTTTAAAGTCAGCTGTAAGGGCTGGTACCGGCAGTCACTTTTTACCGGTGTGCCGTACCTGCCCTACCACCTTACTTTCACCCCTGCACATGGGTCTCTGGGTCAAAGGCTTGAGCCCCCAGAACAAAATGCTCAGGTGCAGGTTTATTTAGTGTGTCGATGAAAGGGGCAGAGGCCCGGGGAGGAAATACAGGGCCAGAGAAGAACCACAAGTGCCAAGCACAGAAGTGTGTGTGTGTGTGTGTGAGAGAGAGAGCATGTGTGCTTGTGGGTGTGACTGCATATATGAGTGTGTGTGTGTGTGTATTAGACAGATGTGTAGCTCATCAGCTCTGCTCGCAGGGCCTGTGTGCATCTCCTAGATCTGCCTGCAGTTTTATGCTTGGACAGAGCCCCAAATCCAGAGCAAAACCATCATGATTTGCCTGGATCCAGGGCCAATCTGGGTTCCCCCACCTACCTCAGCCAGGGATTTTCAGAGAAGAAGCTCCTAAGCCCAGGAGACATAGGGCTGATTAGCCCCTACCGGAGCCAGGAGGCGCAACAGTGTCCTTTGTACAGTAGCTGAGGTCCCAGGTGCAGACCCCTCACTGCCCAATGCAGCCCTCCTGCCCAGAAACCAATCCAGCTGTGCTGTGTGGAATCCCCTGTGTAGATGCCCGGCTGGTGGGTCATTCTCACATGCTCAGAGTCACGATTTGGCAATTTGGGATTGAGGAGGATTTTGCCCACATCAGACTGGCAGATACCTGATGGGTGGGGCAGGTGTTCCCCTTCCTCTGCAGCAGGGAGCAGGGATCACCTGCTGGGATCATCTGGGCAGATCCTACCTAATTAATTTCCTGCCCTGGCAGGGACCTTGGGCATTGGCAGCACCTCGGTCTCTTCTCTTCTCTGCCTGTGGCCCACAACAATGGAGTCTCCTGGGGACTGGAATGCTTTGGTCTGACTGAAATCATTGGGCTGTTTTAGACATGTTCTTAGTGTCCAAACTGAGAAATAAAATCTCCCTTTGTATAAACAGTGTGGTTGTGTTCTCTGCTTCCAGAAGAGGCAGACCTTTAATTGCTTTTGTGACCATGTCGATGGCCTGACAAGTGCCCCAGTGCACTTCTGAAAAGCCTATCTACTCTTCCTACCCAACAAAGATGGTTTGGGTGGAATGAACCCTTCATTGCCTATGAGGAGTGATTAATAAGACTGGGACTTTTCAGCTTGGAAAAGAGACGACTAAGGGGAGATATGATAGAGGTCTATAAAATCATGACTGGTGAGGAGAAAGTGAATAAGGAAGTGTTATTTACTCCTTTTCATAACACAAGAACTAAGGGTCACCAAGTGAAATTATGAGGCAGCAGGTTTAAAACAAACAAAAGGAAGTATTTCTTCACACAACAGTCAACCTGTGGAACTCCTTGCCAGAGAATGTTGTGAAGGCCAAGACTATAACGGGGTTCAAAAGAACTAGGTAAGTTCATGGAGGATAGATCTTAAGAGGCATAAGAACAGCCACCAACAACTATTAGCCAGGATGGGCAGGGATGGCATCCCGAACCTCTGTTTGCCAGAAGCTGGGAATGAGCGATAAGGGATGGATCACTTGATGATTACTGGTTCTGTTAATTCCCTCTGGGGCACCTGACATTGGCCACTGACAGAAGACAGGATACTGGGACAGATGGACCACTGATCTGACCGAGTATGGCCGTTCTTATGCCTCCTAAGATCTAGTGGCCCCTTATAGCCTGACCTAGTTATCACAGCCCAAAAATTTCACTGTTACCCCCATATCAAGCCGAGTAACCTGTTTGACTAAAGCATCTTCCAAAAGGCCTCCAGGCTGGATTTGAAGACCCAGCCCAAGAGAAGGATAATCGATCCCCTTCCCCTGTGTCTGTCTGCTTTCACCTTCAGATACAGCTTCTTGCTCTAACTTTCTCCTCTAGACTGAAGAGCCTTTTAGATCCCAGTATTTCTCCCAAGGGAGGTACTCCGATACCTCTCAATTGTGTTGATAAACTGAACAGCCTGAGCTCCCTGGGTCTCACTGGAAGGCACTGAAGGCATTCTCCAGCCCTTGAACCATTTCTAAACCCCTTTCTGCACCCTCCTTAATTTTTCAACACTTATTTAAATTAGGGCTCTCAGTTAATTGCAGTTAAGTCCCACAATTAATTGCAATTAAGTGCACTGTTAAACAATAGAATGCCAATTGTAACATATTAAACATTTTGGATGTTTTCCTACACTTTCAAATATATCAATTTCAATTACAACATAATACAAAGTAAACAGCACTCTATTATTTTTTATTACAAATATTTGCTTTGTAAAAATGATGGAAAAAAGAGTATTTTTCTATTCACCTCATACAGGTACTGTACTGCAATCTCTTTCTCATAAAAGTGCAACTTACAAATGTTATTGGGGTTTTTTGTTGCATAATTGCACACAAAAACAAAACAATGAAAAACTTTAGACCCTACAAGTCCACTCAGTCCTACTTCTTATTCAGCCAATTGCTAAGAGAAAGAAGTTTGTTTACATTTACAGGAGATATTGCTGCCCACTTCTTAAATACAGTGTCACCTGAAAGTGAAAACAGGCATTCAAATGGCATTGTTGTAGATGTCTGTGATGCTCTGTACCTCAGAGGAACATCCTACATCCCCATGTTCATCTTTATAAAATGATTACGTGGTATCCAATGCAAAGTTTGTCATGTTGGGTGTCTTCAGAAGGCTCAGAATGCACTGAGCATGTTTGTTACAGTAATGTTATATTAAGTATAATATAACATTATACTTAATACTATCTACTCTTCCTACCCAACAAAGATGGTTTGGGTGGAATGAACCCTTCATTGCCTATGAGGAGTGATTAATAAGACTGGGACTTTTCAGCTTGGAAAAGAGACGACTAAGGGGAGATATGATAGAGGTCTATAAAATCATGACTGGTGAGGAGAAAGTGAATAAGGAAGTGTTATTTACTCCTTTTCATAACACAAGAACTAAGGGTTCTTTAAGGGTTATAATTTCATGTTTCTAGTTATGCGGCTGAAAATGTATCCTCATGGCTTAAAGCAAGCCCGTGCAAAAACATGAACAGAGAGGCAGTTCGCACCTTGTGAGGGCAAGGATGGGACCAGCCCAGCCCAGCCTCACAGGAACAATGGATAATAGCTCAGGCAGCAACAAAATAATCTGTTAGACCAGGGATCTCAAACTCAAATCACCAGGAGGGCCACATGAGGACTAGTACATTGGCCCGAGGGCTGCATCACTGACAGCCCCCCTCTTCCACAAGGCCCCGCCCCTTCCCCAACCCCATTCCAACCCCTTCCCTGAATCCCCACCCCTGCCTCGCCTCTTCTCCGCCTCTTCCTCCGAGTGCACAGCTCCCTGCTCCTCCCCACTCCCTTCAGGAAAGCGCTAAGCACCACCAAACAGCTGTTTGGCGGCAGGAAGCACCTGGAGGTAAGCAGAGGAGCAGGGATGGGGTGTGCTGGGGGGAGGAGGAGCGGCAGGAGGGGAGCTTGGCGGGCTGCAGGAAATAACTGGGGGAGCAGGGCGGGGAGCTTGGTGGGTTGCATTAAATAACCCTACAAGCCGCGTGTTTGAGACCCCTGTGTTAGACCCTGGAGGGAGTCACCCCCTTCCTTTGTGCAGTTTGGGACTGCAATGAGGTAATGCTCACTTGACTCTGAAGGTGGCAGGAGGAAAGAAAGGACATGGCAAAATGTCTCTCCCTTTTATCATGCTCTCTGTCTTCCACCAACGTTGACAGACACCACCAAGCAACTGAAGAGCTGACCAAAGAGGAGAGCCTGAATGAAAAGTAATCAGCCAGCCTGTGGTGAGAAGCATCTAGGTTTGTAAGGACATTGAAAGTGTTAAGATCAGCTTAGGATGCGTTTTACTTTTATTTCATTTGACCAAATCTGATTTTGTTATGCTTTAACTTGTAATCACTTAAATCTAGCTTTATAGTTAATAAATCTGTTTCTTTATTCTACCTGAAGCAGTGCATTTGGTTTGCAGTGTGTCCGGAACTCGCCTTGGCAGAATAAGTATGGTACCTATCAATTCCTTTGTTAAATTGATGAACCCATATAAGCTTGCAGCGTCCAGCGGGCATAACTGGACAAGGCAAGAAGGAGGTTCCTAGGGTTGTGTCTGGGCCCGGAGATATTGGCTCGTGTCATTCAGTTGCACAATCCAAAGAGCAGCTTCCATGCCAGAGGCTGTGTGTGAACAGCCCCGGAGTGGGGGTTGTCACAGCAGAGCGGGGGTAAGGCTGGCTCCCAGAGTCAAGGATTGGAATGACCTAGCAGATCACTGTTCCAGATAACCCCAGGGGAACGTCACAGGCTTCCACTCTTCCCTAAAGGTAAGTCCTATGCCCTCAGTGCCTCAGACTGAGCCTCTGGGCTCCAGCATGCCTGCTTCATACCGTGGGCTCTGCCCAAGGGCTCCAAGTGAAATAGAATCCTCTTCAGACCCTGCCCTTGGCAGGGATCGTTGCACCTCAGCAAGTCTTTGTCGTAACACCAGGCAGCCTTTTCAAAAGAGGTCAGAGCTTCTTGTGTGTTGGAACACAACAGCAGGAAGCCTTATGGTAGCACAGCGAAGCCATGGTAAAGAAAGGTCAGAATTCAGGCAGGCCGCTGTTATGGTGCTACCTAGCCAAGCTCCTCTCTCTGTGTCAGTCCCCTGGGACAGCTAGTATGTCTCTCCAAAGGCCAGCTTAGATCTGTGTGTACAGCACCTTTGGTCACATGAAGTGTCATTTTGATGGGCAACTGAAATCCCAGGACATGGTGCTGCTGAATCTGTACAAGCGCATCTTCCCTAAATGGACTTATGACCCGCACATGCTGGAGCCGGTACCGTGGGTGAGAAATGAACAGCAGCTCCCTGTGCAGGAGGTGGAGATGGAATAACCCTCCAGGCTTAGCATGGCTGCTGTGGTTCGCACCTTCTGCACCCCACATGGGTGCCTGGGTGTTCCAAGCCCCGTGAGAACTAGGGAGAACTGCTCTGGACTTGTTAATGCTGTGTCTTTCCTGGGGTTTGTGTCCAGCATTCACGCTGGCTCCTGCAGCATTAGATCTGGCTCACAACTGCCAATGCCCTGGCCACCAATGTCAGTTTATTTTAATGGCAAATATATCTTTACTTTAATTAAAGTCCAAGTCCCCAGCTTTCTTGCGGGGGGCAGAGGGGGTGGCTGGATCGAGTTATTGTGCACAGGGTATTGTGCACATTGGGCCTGCAGGCTTTGTTCATTCCCTCCTGCCAGGCTAGAAGCTCCTGAAGGTGCATGAGGGATTGTGTGTTTTGCCCCCTCCCCTGCCATTTGTGTGTAACTTGAGAACATAGAAACATAGGCTGCCATATGGGGTCAGACCAGTGGTCCATCTCGCCCAGCATCCCTGGCAATGTGGGCATCATAGTGCTAATGGGGCAGGTTCATGCGGTGGAACGCCAATTCTGGGCTCGGGAAACAAGCACAGACTGGTGGGACCGCATAGTGTTGCAGGTCTGGGACGATTCCCAGTGTCTGCAAAACTTTCGCATGCGTAAGGGGACTTTCATGGAACTTTGTGACTTGCTTTCCCCTGCCCTGAGGCGCAATAATACCAAGATGAGAGCAGCCCTCACATTTGAGAAGCGAGTGGCAATAGCCCTGTGGAAGCTTGCAACGCCAGACAGCTACCGGTGAGTCGGGAATCAATCTGGAGTGAGCAAATCTACTGTGGGGGCTGCTGTGATGCAAGTAGCCAACGCAATCAAAGATCTGCTGATATCAAGGGTAGTGACCCTGGGAAATGTGCAGGTCATTTTGGATGGCTTTGCTGCAATGGGATTTCCTAACTGTGGTGGGGCCATAGACGGAACCCATATCCCTATCTTGGCACCAGAGCACCAAGCCGGCGAGTACATAAACCACAAGGGGTACTTTTCAATAGTGCTGCAAGCACTGGTGGATCACAAGGGACGTTTCACCAACATCAACGTAGGATGGCCAGGAAAGGTACATGACGCTCGCATCTTCAGGAACTCTGGTCTGTTTCAAAAGCTGCAGGAAGGGACTTTATTCCCAGACCAGAAAATAACCGTTGGGGATGTTGAAATGCCTATAGTTATCCTTGGGGACCCAGCCTACCCCTTAATGCCATGGCTCATGAAGCCATACACAGGCAGCCTTGACAGTAGTCAGGAGCTGTTCAACTATAGGCTGAGCAAATGCAGAATGGTGGTAGAATGTGCATTTGGACTTTTAAAAGGGCGCTGGTGCAGTTTACTGACTTGGTTAGACCTCAGCGAAACCAATATTCCCACTGTTATTACTGCTCGCTGTGCGCTACACAATATCTGTGAGAGTAAGGGGGAGACGTTTATGGCAGGGTGGGAGGTTGAGGCAAATTGCCTGGCTGCTGGTTACGCACAGCCAGACACCAGGGTGGTTAGAAGAGCACAGCAGGGCGCACTGGACATCAGAGAAGCTTTGAAAACCAGTTTCATGACTGGCCAGGCTACAGTGTGAAAGTTCTGTTTGTTCCTCCTTGATGAACCCCCCCAGCCCCTTGGTTCACTCTACTTCCCTGTAAGCTAACCACCCTCCCCTCCTCCCTTCGATCACCGCTTGCAGAGGCAATAAAGTCATTGTTGCTTCACATTCATGCATTCTTTATTCATTCATCACACAAATAGGGGGATAACTACCAAGGTAGTCCAGGAGGGGTGGTGGAGGAGAGAAGCACCAGGAGGGGTGGTGGAGGAGGGAAGGACAAGGCCACACAGCACTTTAAAAGTTTAAAACTTTAAAACTTATTGAATGCCAGCCTTCTGTTGCTTGGGCAATCCTCTGGGGTGGAGTGGCTAGGTGGCCGCAGGACCGCGTTCTTGGGCATCTGGGTGAGGAGGCTATGGAACTTGGGGAAGAGGGCGGTTGGTTACACAGGGGCTGTAGCAGCGGTCTGTGCTCCTGCTGCCTTTCCTGGAGCTCAACCATATGCTGGAGCATATTAGTTTGAACCTCCAGCAGCCTCAGCATTGATTCCTGCCTCCTCTCATCATGCTGCTGCCATCTTTCAGCTTCAGCCCGTCACTTACTCTCTTCAGCCTGCCACCTCTCCTCCCGGTCATTTTGTGCTTTCTTGCACTCTCACATTGTCTGCCTCCACACATTCGTCTGTGCTCTGTTAGTGTGGGAGGACACCATGAGCTCAGAGAACGTTTCATCACGAGTGCGTTTTTTTCGCCTTCTAATCTTTGCTAGTCTCTAGGAAGGAGAAGATCCTGTGATCCTTGAAACACATGCAGCTGGTGGAGAGGGAAAAAAAGGGACAGTGGTATTTAAAAAGACACATTTTATAGAACAATGGGTACACTCTTTCATGGTAAACCTTGCTATTAACATTACATACATAGCACATGTGCTTTCGTTCCAAGGTTGCATTTTGCCTCCCCCAGTGTGTGGCTAGTCCCTCCACCCTCCCCATAGGTAACAGCTGGGAACATTTCTGTTCAGCCACAGGCAAACAGCCCAGCAGGAATGGGCACCTCTGAATGTCCCCTTAAGAAAAGCACCCTATTTCAACCAGGTGACCATGAATGATATCACTCTCCTGAGGATAACACAGAGAGATAAAGAACGGATGTTGTTTGAATGCCAGCAAACATACACTGCAATGCTTTGTTCTACAATGATTCCCGAGTACGTGCTACTGGCCTGGAGTGGTAAAGCTACTGGTGGATGGAATAAGGCTGCCCTCCCCAGAAACCTTTTGCAAAGGCTTTGGGAGTATATCCAGGAGAGCCACGAATGCCAGGGAAAATTAATCATTAAACATGCTTGCTTTTAAACCATGTATAGTATTTTAAAAGGTACACTCACCAGAGGTCTCTTCTCCGCCTGGCGGGTCCGGGAGGCAGCCTTGGGTGGGTTTTGGGGGTACCTGCTCCAGGTCCAGGGTGAGAAACAGTTCCTGGCTGTCAGGAAAACTGGTTTCTCCACTTGCTTGCTGTGAGCTATCTACAACATCATCATCATCTTCTTCCTCATCCCCAAAACCTGCTTCCGTGTTGCCTCCATCTCCATTGAAGGAGTCAAACAACATGGCTGGGGTAGTGGTGGCTGAACCCTCTAAAATGGCATGCAGCTCATCATAGAAGTGGCATGTTCAGGGCTCTGACCCGGAGCGGACGTTGGCCTCTCTGGTTTTCTGGTAGGCTTGCCTCAGCTCCTTAAGTTTCACGCAGCACTGCTTCGGGTCCCTGTTATGACCTCTGTCCTACATGCCTTGGGAGATTTTGACAAAGGTTTTGGCATTTCGAAAACTGGAACGGAGTTCTGATAGCACGGATTCCTCTTCCCATACAGCAATCAGATCCCGTACCTCCCGTTCGGTCCATGCTGGAACTC